TGTCCAAAATAAATTCTATCATATTCTCTTGAAACTTGAGTTCTGCCAGCAACTTATGAGATGAAATAAAATGACACACTAGAGCTGACTTTTCTTGAATTATAAGCAGGTATAAAGTAGCAACTAAGAAACAATTACCCTGTAGAGTGATATATTTATCACAAGTGAAAGAAAGTAGTCAACAATATGACTTAAATCTTTGAAATTACTTCATTTTCCACAAATGTAACATGTACCTGTATTTACCAAAATTCCAGGCTATCTGTTAATTACATTACAGTAGCTGCATATAAAGAATGGGCTGGTTTAGGCTTTGAATCTGGTTTAGGCTTTTGAATCACCTTCCTGCTTCTGATTATTTTGTCTGAATTACTACTGTCAAAGATCAAAAACCCAAGGCATTCTATTCTCCAGACAGCCCAAAGTTAGACCAACTGCAGGACCACTGACCAGGTAAAACCCAGGTCGTATCAAGCTTTGAGTCTGAATTTCTGATAGGAAAGAAAATAAACAAAAAACCCCACCAGCACTGGTTGGTTGGAAGGGGGTCTCGTGGTCTAGCGGAAAAGCTGAGAGGAGTTGAAGTAAAACTTGAAGTGACTATTTTAAAAAGTCACATGAAATATGCAGATTTGACAGGTAAAATATTAAAGAGCTCTTTTATTCCCATATTCATCACTTTTGACAATAGTCTGTCAGTCACTTTAGTATGAAATGTGTCTAAATCTTAAAAATAGTCTCTTTAGCGTGTTGGAGCTCGGTGTTTTTTCATTTTTCAAAGCAAGCCTCAGATGATTTTTAGAGAGTAAGACGTAATTGATGTGGACGGTGGGCAGCAGATGGGAACACCAACAGGGCTCTGCGTTTCGGCATTGTCACTGCCCCTTCTAGGTTTCAGGCTGCCCCTTGTAAATCTAGTTTTTCCGGTGAACATTCTAGGTGTTCAGCTCTGCTGAAACGTTCCAGTTCCCTGGGAGACACTACCACTTATTACGCTTAGATTCCGTCCTCGACCCACCCTGACACCTCCCTAATTTTAGTGGGCTTTTCAATTGCGGATATTCAGCTAAATTAAGTCAATTAAATTCCTTAATGCGACAGAAGACATCTGTTGAGCTGTGCTATTTGTGCGAAGCTGTGGCAAGTGGCTTCGACATTTAAGTTACTTGAGCACGAATTAGCAGATCTCAGAATAATATCATCAGAAGTGGCGAATTTGTGTTAGAACAGAGAGGGATTAAGGCTTTAAGCTTTCCATGTTAGTTGTGGTAAAGATACACAGATAGTTCTGGTTTCAAGTTACACCCAAGTCTTGCCTTTGAAAGTAAGAAGGTACTTCCACTTAAGGTTGGTATTTTTATACACTGGTTAGGGTAATGATGCTCTAAACTCTGTGAGAGAATAAGGAGCAGATGCCATTTTTCAAGAGGAAGGGGAAGTCGTGTTTGGAGAGGTGGAAGGCTTCTTGGCACCTTTTAAAAAAACAGTCTCTATCTAACTTCTGAGAAAGTCCGTTTTCCACCTGCTCATTTGATGGTTTTGTAACACCAGGGAAAAGTGAGGTGGCCCGAAGGACCTCTGTTTTCTACAGGCTACAGGGCAATAATGACTTTGGAACTTGGAACTATGGTTTCGCTAATTTTTTATGCTGTTCGTTTATAAATAGAAGTAAGAGGGATTATGTTCCATATCATTGTTTTAAAGTTTTCCTGAAATGTTTCCTGGTTTATACATGAGGCAACCAGCTTTAGAAACTCTCTGGTAGGAGTTTGCTAGTATAAATTTAGCATTACTTATATAGATCTAACACCGAAGAAGCAATTAGCTGAAAATCTCTTCATTCGATTCAGTTCCTCTGAATCGGATTCAGAGGAATCAAATTCAGAAATTTTGGATAGGAGAGAGGAGAAAAAGAGCATCCAGTGAATTTCATTAATTTAGGGAAAAGAAGTATCCTTTTCATTACAGTTCGCATGTAATTAGACAAGGATTGATGTCACTTTTTCTAGTTCATGGTATAAAATCACCAGTTAGAAAAATTACAGTGAGGCTTGACTATTTCATGCCACTCTTCATCATCACAATCCCTTAGAATGTGTAGTGTTTACCTCCTCTTTTTATTACTTCCTCTAAAAGAGTAGGTGTTCTATAAATAGTTGTTGATAGAGTTGATATTTAGTAAATTCTAAATATCAAGACCAAAGAATTAAAAACTTATACAGTATCAGAAGTTTAATCAGAGAAGCAGTGACATGTCAATTTATAGCAAATAAATCATATCTATTTCCCTGTTTAATGATAACCAAACCAGAATTTTGCCGAGACATCATCTGTTAGAGTGTAAAAAAAAGAACATAATCACTTATAATCTCTTTTTTTCTTGATTATTTTGTGGCCAGTGTTTCTGTAATTCACAGTGTTCCCCCCCAACCTGCGGGGGTGGAGGGGGGTGGGAATGGCTATTGCTGGGCCATAGATGATTGTGAAGATTTTATGACTCAATATTATTTTTACATTTTACATGTGGCTGGGACACTGGGGAAAACATAGTTTTATCACAAATAAAAGGTTGACTTTTTGAAGTAACTGTATTATTCAGCTAACAAAAGACATGAGTGGAACAAGTTTTCCTTATGTCTTAATAATCCGTGATTAAACGTTGAGGGGGGGTACTTAAGTAAATCTCTTTCGTTGACTTCTTTCTCCCAAAGGAAACCTAGAATGACAAAGGAAATGCAAGCTGCTCCAGCCACTTGACTTGCAAATCAATCTGGTCTGGATTCTAACTGGGAATTACATCCCAGTAAAAAGTATAGGGCTGGTGTTAAAACAACAGGGACCAAAGCAGGAAGCTCTGCCATGGGCAGTGAATGACTACAAAGAAGCGCGTCAGAAAAAAAAAAAAAAAAAGTAATTTGGTTAGATATACTATGGGGACAACACAGCAGCTGCAGGTCAGGTGTCGCTGTGTCTCAGCATAAAGATCTTAACTACCCCAACAGACTGCATCCAGCTTGACCCCCATTTTCAAAAGCTTAGATAAACTGTGGAGCTCTCCTGGTATGTGGGCAGTTTTTGTTGAATAGAAGGGCTATTAAGGGGGAAAAATTGTCAGATGGAACACTGTGCTCTCTTCAGCGTTTCTGGGAAGGAAGTAACAAAGAAATGAATCCATCATTAATATTATTTGCAACTTTGACCCAACATTTTCAGACTATAGCTTTACAAATTATCCTCTTTTCTAGACCTTATTTTTTTTTATCATAAAACCCAATCAAGTTCTAGGGTGGGGAAAAACACAGTATTTATTAATGGCCGTTGCCTAAAATCTGTCATTCTCCACGGTGTGGTATACATTTTGTGTGTGTGTGTGTTATGGGAGTATTTTAATAGGTAATTTGTATATGTAGTTTGTGGGAGATGTTTAGGGGTTAGGTTATATGTAATAAAAATTTGGAATGGAAATCGTGTTTGGAAGGTTAATCCTTCTGTGCACAGTGACTTTCAACCCCAATCGGACAGATAGGGGAAAGAGCTCTGATTTTTTTGTTTGCCTATTTCTAGGTTAAGCATCCTTTTGGAAATGAAGCTACAAAACAGAGACCTAGCCAAACGAACAAGTAGGCATCAACCTTCTTGAGAATACAAAGCTGAACCAAATTAAGTATCTACCCTTGCAGAAACTGGGCGGACATTCTACCCTTCAACTTTGCCCCAGCCAGGGTCACTTCTCCCCCTGCCCTACCACTGCCACAGTCTGTGTTCCAAGATATGCTGACTGCTTCACGAGTAAATACTTCAAGGGCTTGTAACAGTCCCACAAATAGGGCACATGTGATTTTTTTCACATGCCTAAATGAAGGAACAGTAAGTAGCCTCTTGTCATTTTTCTTTGGGCCTGTGCTCTTTAGATTGTATTGATAAGGGAAACAATTTTGGAAATCAAGCACTAAAAAGTGTAACTTTGTAGACAACATGAGATATACTACGGAGATTTGAGCAAAACCCTAATCTGATTAACCCGAAGGGCTTATCATTCAAGTGTCACATCCCTGCCCTCATTACTGCTACTTCCATAAGGACAAACCCAAAGCTCCTTTAATGTTAACACTCATGGTTATAAATTTGGCCCCCTGGAGGGGTAGGGACAGGGCAGGAACCAAATGCACAGTGGAAGAGCTGCCAAAGAAACATGTTTTCCCCAAATCAAGTTTTAGTAGAAACGTTTCCATTGGAGGACTTTCTCGAGATCAAACATTTTTAAGCTCAATGAAACAAAATAGTATTTTTTAAGGAACTGAGATCTACAATATATTTATATCCATATTTCTAAACACCTAAGTCTAAAAGACATAAAAATTAGCGATGCAGTCACTGAATAGCAAGGCATGTCCACATTTCAAAGAGGCATAAAATGTGAAATGATAGAACAACAGAAGGTCGAAAATAGGAAACAGACTTAGCATAGTCATATTGCGTTGGGGGGAAAAGGTCGAACACATTATTTAGGTAAATTAATGTACAGGAAAACGGGATCTTAGAAGTCCTCCGACGAACCAAGTGCAGATAATCTAAAGGTGGGGAGTGCATGTTTTTAATTTCTATCTGTCCCCTTTAATAAGAGAACATGAGGTAATTAGAAAGTATTCAATGCATTCTGGACTGTTCTGCTAATTGTTCCAGGCAAGAGAAATCAAAACGCTTCAGAAAAGTAAGGCCTAGTTGAGTATTTGGGTAGAGGCCCCCCCTTCAATCAGCTAGTCACTAAAAGGAAATCTCCTTATATATTCATTTTGTAGAGATGGATTGATCACGCTGTAGAAAAGGCTGGTCGCTGAGGATGTGTCTCTTCGAGGTTTCCTCTGCCTCCTCTGCTTTTACCGAGTTAGGTCTTCAGAGTGGCGAAGGAAAATAGGTCATTTTTCCTTCATAAAGTATCATTGGATGATTCCTCTATATTAATTATATGAACCTTATACTAGTTACAGATTTAAAAAAAAAATTTTTTTTTTAGACTTTCATCTCAAAGGGTTCTCAGTCCCCACCCCTCACAAGGTACCATGAAGGGGCACTAAAGTGCATTTGGATGTAGGGGAGTAGAGTTTAAAGGTGCTGTCCAAGCTAAGAACCAAGATGATGCCGTTTAAAAAAGAAAGGCAATTCCTTCTACCTCCATCTCTGTGGAGTCAACTGAGGGAGGGCAATGACTGGACCCTCACCAGAGGATTGTCCTAACTCTTAACTTTAGAGAAAACTGTGTAAGGACCTGCACATATAGACTCATTTATTTGTCCAAAATAGCAAAAATAGGCCTATTTCACCCTTAAGAAAGTATCTGCAAATCTGATCAGTCATGATCATAAAAACGTGAATGGATTCCAGAGGTAATCCATGTGGGCGTGCTCGGTGGTACTGTGTGTCTTCAGCTTAAAAGAACATGCTGCTGTTCATTTTCATCAAAACGTGACTTCTAGCTACCATAAATAAAATACACATGGAACGGTTAAATCTTTTTCTTACAATAATTACTTTTACAGTAAAAAGTCACCGTCATCTTCAGATTTATTGAAAATTAGGACTCTAAATCTTACTCTTTCCCAGTCTTAGTTAACAATCTTGCACAGGCCCGATAATCCAAAACTTGGAGCTCTGATCTACACAGCTTGACAGGTTTCACACAGTTTGACAGGTAGGCAACTGCGAGATAGGCTTTTTTTTTTTTTTTTAATTAGCATTTTTCTATCAAAACAGTCGGAAATCTTTTAAAATCCTCACAGAGACTGTATTTGTGCAATGCCACAGTCACGCAGCTAGAAAGGAGAAAACAAAATACAGTCAGGAAGATTCACCACAGTCCGGGTTTTTCTTGGTCCTCAGTTTAAACCACCACGGGGCCCAGGAAATCCGACGAAATACAGAGCTTTCCATGAGAGAAGAGGCGGTCCCAGAAGCATTTAGGCTACTACACGGGGACCGTCTCAACCACGGGTGATTTGATGCACTCTTCGTGCAATCTGCTCTTTTCTGCCAGACTCAACGAATTTTCCGCAGGGTGCTCTGAAATGCGACTGTCACCATTCAACGTGGAGACAAACCCTTCCTGGGAGGGGCCTTTCAAGTAGGAGTGGAATTCCACTTGAGGGTGGTTGGACCTGTGCTCGGGGTATAAGCTACTGCAGGGGACGCCGCTGTCGTTTTCGGCAGAGGAGCAGCAGACGATGACAGAGGGGTTGGCAGCGGGGTAGTGGGAGGCGCCGTAGGCCTCCTCAGCCTGGCGGGCGTAGTCCACGAACTGCTCCGGGGTCATGGTGTAAGGCACCAGCGAGAGGGTACCGCTCTTCACAGGATCTCTCTCGGAGTAGCTCTCGGAGATCTGGCTAGGCGTTCCCGGAAGGTGGCTATCGATTTGGTAATACAGAGTCGAAGAGTTGGCGTAAAAAGAAGCATTCTTCGCGTGGCTCTCGTGGACGGCCGTGCCGTCGGAATAACAGAGGACGGAAGGCAGAGGGACGACCTCCGCATGGGGACCCAAACCTTCCACGAAGCTGTCCCCCTTCTCGTCGTCCTCGTCGTCCTCGTCCTCCTCCTCCTCTTCCTCCTCCTCTTCCTCCTCCTCCTCGTCTGACTCGCTGGGCGCCAGGCTCTGCGTGCTGGAATCCGTGACCCCGCTGCAGAAGCTGCTGCCGTCCTCCTCCTCCTCCTCCTCCTCCCCTTGGCAATCTAACTCCTCGGCCGACTGCAGGTGCAGCACCGCCGCCTGGGGCTCCGTTTCGATCTCGAAATTGTCTGCGATGGAGTATTCCACGGAGTGCGCCGCGGGGCCCATGGAGCTGCTGTGAGCGCTTATCTCGCCGTGGCAGCCGTTCAGCGTGGGGATTTGCTGCTCCCGGTTTTTCTCCAGTTCAAGTTTCATGATTGTGTGCAAAAAGTGAGTCCGGACACGGATCGGATTAAATTCAATTCTACCTGCTGTGTTACTACATCCTTCTTTAGTGCAGCCGCAAGGGAAAGACATTCGGTCCACCTTGGAAGGAAGAACACAGATTAGCCCCGTGGAACTCTCACCGACCACGGAAAACGCCAGTACCTCTCTGCAACCCCTCTGAGTCTGGGATGACTTCATCCCACTTGCGCCAGAGCAAATGACAAGCAGGCTGCAGAGAAACCAAGAGGGCAAGGGAAGACTTCAAACGAGGGAGTCAACCGGGGTTTAAAACCTGTATTCAAATTAAAAATGAGTTCCGGCTCTAAGTGTGGAGTTTTAGTTCACTGACCCCCTTCTTGTGCTTTCTTCTTTCTCCTTTCTACTGCCCCCCCCCCAAACATCTTTTGCTCCCATGATTTCAAAGTCGCTCCTTCCCCTAGGCTCCCTTCACTTCCACTGCATAAGGGCTCACACACCGGATTTTAAACGACACCAACTTACTGCCCCCATCCCTTGCCTGCTATGTTTAAGCTAAATTAGATGACATTTTCCATACTGGCCAACCCCCTCTTCTTGGCTTATTATAAAACGAACCTTTTGTCTGACATGGCCATATTGACACCCCTTGGTCTCAGGAAGCCTAGTAGTTCGTCCATGTTGGTTTTCCTTCCATTTGTTTGGATCCCTGGTCCATGCTGCTTGTATGTGTCCTGCAGGGCTGGGACAGCAGTGCCCATTTATGACTCTGCTTGGTGGACCCATGCATTTAGGTTCTGGCTCTCCCCTTCCCCCTCCTCACTCCAGGAGACTACAAACTTCTTGAGGGAAAGGGATGTTCATGTCACCATACCCCAGAATTACAGCGACTGGGCTCCGTCAGCAGAGTGTTTGGGTTCACCAAGTGTCACAGGACTGAACTCGTCACTCAGGTGATAATAGGCGGAATTCACGGCAATCCAAGGGCCCTCCTAAGACATTTGCTAATTGCTACCAATTCAGCTGTATGCAGACCAGAGCACAGGCACCCAGAAAGAACTGGCTCTGCTTGCAGCCTTACCCAGGCGCAGGGACTTTCCTCTGCCACAAAGGAGAAGGCACACTCCAGCCCTGTCTCCTGGTTTCAGTAAAAAGTAGGGGCAGAGGACAGAGCCTGAATTTATAGCTGCTTTCTGACTCATTAATCCCTTTTCTATTAATCCACTTTAAGCAACTGTTTAACCGATGAGAACTATCCTCTTTTTTGGCCTGCCTGAGTGGCTATCTTTATAAAAAAGGGCACGTTTCCTCATAAAATAATGACACTTCACTAATCTTAGAGCATAAATCACATAGATGAATGGGGACTTGAAGATCATCTCGTCCAAGGGTTGGTAAACTCTTCCTTCCTTTTTCCTTTTTTGTTTTGTTTTGTTTTGTTTTGTTTTGGGTAAAGGGCCAGAAAAGAAATATTTTAGTCTTTGTTGGCCCTACAGTGTCCCTGGCAACTACTCATTGCTGTCGTAACATCATGACAGCAGCCACGGATGACACCAAAACAGACAAACAAAAAGACACAAAATGACTGGGCTGCGCTAAAGTGTTAGTTACAGGGACAGGTGGCAGGCCAGATTTGTCCTGTGAACCACAGTTTGCCAACCACCGATCCAGTCCAGCCCTTTCATTTCTGAGATAAGGAAACTGAGCCCAGAAAGCTTACCTGACTTGCCAATTTCACACAGCTGGCAGAAAGCAGAGCCAGGAGTAGAATTCCATTTTCTTAAGTCCCAGTCCTGTCATTTTCGCACCCGTGCGTGCCACCTCTAACCTGTCGTCATTTCGTACCCCATAGATGGATCAGAAAACACAAACTCCCATGTCAGAGATGTGACGATCTCCCTGAGTGCTTGTAAAAACCCACAACAAGCTGGTACAATACATGAATCCAAGAGGACGTGATTCTGATGGACTAAGCTACAGCTAGGGCTGCCTCTCCCATGTATCGTGCATGTATCAGTGTACTATGTACACCCAGAAAGGTCCCTGACTTAATATCTCTCTCTTCTTGAACCACGGGTCTTGTCTTGCTGCAAAGCTTCTTCCTGTATGGGAGAAACTTCTTTCTCTGCCGCATGGTGGGAGGAGGGGAGGCAGAGTGTGTATGAGGTCTCCTCTTTGGAGTCCTTGAAACCCAGATCCTTACCTGACACTTAATGCCTGCCAGGCTGCAGGTACATGTTTCTGGATCACAGAACACTCGGCAGTCACAGCCACAGTCCTCTCTCGACAGGCGGATGGCACGCAGCTCATGTTTTTCTTCCACATCAATCTTTTTCACCCCCGAGGCCCGCAGCAGTGCTCTCCTTTTCTTCGTCGGCAGGGGTTGTAGAAAGAAGTACTCGTCTACCTCCGTGTTGTCTAAATCAATATCGTCATCCGAAATGTCATCCACAGTAAGAGTGCTTGCTTCTTCAGATTCCACCGTGCCGTTCTTGGTCATCTAGAAACACGAAGCAGCAAACGGACTTAGCATCGGCAGGGTCTCAAATCCCTACTTTGATGCTTAAAACTATTATAAAACATCATGTCCCATAATCCAGAGTGTTTGTGGGTCCTATTATTTCCATTTATTTTTCTCTTTGGAGAAGTCGCAGGAAAGAAAAAGGAAGGCATCAAAATGATAGGCTTTTACATGCACTGGTAACTGAAGACTTAATTGGAACTCTTAACCCCCTAATGTAAGGAGTTAGAGCTTTTAGCCAGTGCGATGTGAAAAAGGCCAAAGGTGACCATGCCCATCAGTGAAAGCTATCTTTAGACTCAGTTCGTGATGGGCAGCTCTGATGGTGGAATAATTGTGTCCTTGTTCAGAGGTGACGGCATCTTAGCAGAAGCCACCACCGCGTAAATCAGCAAACATGTCCTTGAAATAACCACTCTGTCTTTTGGGACGCGGGCAAAACCATGAACTAGGAAATAACATCGTGCTGCACTGTGCTGTTGGGACTACAAACATGGTTACCCTACAGAACATTCCAAGAATGAGGGCTGGATATGAAGTAATCAGTCAGGTCAGTGTGCTGTCAGAAAGATGGGGAACAGAGGGCAGCGCTGGCAGGCTCTCGCCAACGGGCAGCCAAACAATAAACCCAGCCCTCAGAGGACTTCACCTGAACCTGTGCCCCAAGCAATAGCGTCTGCGTCATAGCTCCTGTGGACAGCTACGTCTCATCTACTTACGACTATGTGCTTCTATTTATATTTCTTTCTAAATTAATTTCATCCATCAGTAAACCCTGAGTCAGTAGCTCACTTCTTACTGTTACACCAGCACATATTATGTTTCCTTCATAAAAAAGCACTGAGAGGCGTTTTCTCTGAGTATGAGTGAGGAACCCATCCTGAGAAGTAGCACAGGAATAAATGTAGAACCTCTGTAAGGGCCTGCTCTAAATATAGACACCGTTTTGATTCTTTAATTTGTAAAGTTGTTACTTCATAAACTTCATTAATTGTAATTATTACCAGGCTATTTAAAAAAATATATATTTATTTGATAGAGAGAGCCGGGTAGGGGGAAGGTGGGGGGGTGGAGGCAAAGGGAGAAGCAGACTCCTCGCTGAGCAGGGAGCCCAATGTGGGGATCAATCCCAGGACCCGGAGATATGACCTGAGCTGAAGGCAGACGCTTAACCAATGGAGCCACCCAGGCACCCCTGTGCTATTTTTTTTTAATCTTAATAACAGTTCAGTTACTACACAATTAAAATACTCAGACATCAGACTTCATTCTTTGATCTTCGTAGGAGAAAGTCCAACATTTAGATAAAAATATTTATTATTGACCAAAACCTCAAACGGAAAACTCTGAATACATTGGAAAACAAATAGAAGACTTGTCTTCACTCTCAAGAAGAGGAAACAATACAGTAGGAAGTGTACATTAAAATGTATTACAGAGGGCCTCTGAATTGCATTTTCAAGAGCCACTAAATTATATTTTTTCAATAATTCAGAGCCTTAAGTCTGTGTTCTAGCAACAATGGTCCTTCCCCTTTATGGGGTTTTGCTTCTCAGTGGGATCTGCAATGCATTTCCTTTGTTGGCATTTCTTTATGCCGTATTGGCTGACCTGTTTCCACGTTTCTGTGATGTCCACTACTAGGAAGTTACTTTGATTGATTGCTGTTATCATTTTTGTTAATTCTCATTTGCTCATAGAAGCATAAGCATCTTTCTATCTGTGAAGATCTGATTTTCCAGGAAATTCAGGTGTGTAATTACCTAGCACATACTCAATCCTCTGTGATAGGTAAAGCTGCACTAACAAATAGGAAGCATTACCTTTCTCACCTTGTCACCTTTGTGGCATTTAGATTTGTTTTCATTAATTCTTGGCCTATGTGAGCTGTGTCAAGGTCTGACTCCATAGCTCACACAGAACAGCCAGGACTTGGAGAGCATGGTTCATTTTTAATATTTCTTTCTAGTTAATCTCTGTGTTCTATATTTATGCTCCCTCAAGCAACCGGTAACATCACAAAACAAAGAAAAACTCTCCATTTTATATCAACAGGGCTTGATTTAAAAAAAAATAATAAAAAGCTACTCACATATTAGTGAAAATTGTTAGGGAAATATGAATTACCAATTGGCATCTAAAAACTTAAAAAAAAGTTACCTCAAATAAATTAGAGATCATGTTTATTCCAAATATAAGTGCTCTTAGAAATACAATCTGCACCTCAATATGTGCCACATATTTAAATTATGATAAACAATTTCATTTCAAGATAAAAATTCAATTAAGAATCTAAAAACTCACGCAGAGCTCCATACTGTTTTAATTCTTGTTTTAGGAACCCGCCAGGGGCCTAATCCAGATTGCAAAATCTCACATTAACATTGAGGTGATCTGGCAAGGTTTCCTCTTCACCTCCCCACTAACATTTTTGCCATCTTTTTTTTAAGTTTTAATTATTTATTTTATTTGAGGAAGAGTGCAAGCAGGGGGAGGGGCAGAGGGAGTGAGAGAATCCCAAGCAGACTCCCTGCCGAGGGCCGTGCCTCATGTGGGGCTGGATCTCAGGATGCTGAGATCATGACCTGAGCCGAAATCAAGAGTCAGATGCTTAACCGACAAGCCACCTAAGCACCCCTCATCTCTGTCATTTCTTTCTTTCTTTTTTTTTTTTTTTAAGATTTTGTTTATTTATTTGACAGACAGAGATCACAAGTAGGCAGAGAGGCAGGCAGAGAGAGAGAGAGAGAGGACGAAGCAGGCTCCCTGCTGAGCAGAGAGCCTGATGCGGGGCTCGATCCCAGAACCCTGGGATCATGACCCGAGCCGAAGGCAGAGGCTTTAAACCACTGAGCCACCCAAGCGCCCCATCTCTGCCATTTCTAATGAAGACTGGAAATATTTGTGTTCATCCTAGTCAGTTGCCTTTTCTCCCCTTCCTCACAGTTTCTGGTGTGGTAGCCACTGAGAGAGATTCTTTATCTCCCTGGTCCCTCCTGCAGTCTGTGCCCATTTGTTCCTTTAAAACCCAGGCCAAACCTACTAACTTTAAATGCTATTTAAAATCAGTGCATTACATAGATTATTTTCAAAAGCATCTTATATTAGGGCAGTAGGGAAAAAAAGTCAGTGAGCATAACTCATATCCATCATGCTCTCAAGATCTGGCCCAAAGAAGCCAGAAAGTCTTCAAGATTGCCTCACCTACTTCTCCCGACTTCTTTACTCTACTACCCGTCCTCACAAGAAATTCATTTTGTACATTTCTTTCTCCTCCTCCCAAATTTATTGAAACATAATTGACATATGACATTGTGTAAGCTTAAGTTGTATGTGTCGCTTTAATACACTTATATACTGTGGAATGATCACCACTGTAGCATTAGCTGTTCTTGCCATCGTACCACATAATGACCACTTCTTTTTTGTGATGACACCATTTCAGATGCACTCTCTTGACAACCTTCAAGTGTGTAACACAGTATTGTAAGCCACAATCACCATGCTGTACATGAGCTCTCCAGAACGTATTCATCTTATAACTGTAAGTTTATAGCCTTTGACCAACATCTCCCCATTTCCCTTACTTTCCAGCTCCTGGCAACCACTATTCTACTCTCTATTTCTAGGAGTTCTGCTTTTTTAGGTTCCACATATCAGTGCTATTAGACTGCATTTGTCTTTCTCTGTCTGAGTTACTTCACTTAGCACAATGCCTTCAAGGTCCATCTGTTTGTTGCAAATGGCAGGATATCTCATGGTTGGATAAGATTCCATAAGATCCATATATAACATTTATCTCTCTGTCAACATGAGTGCTACCTTTAAATGTCTTTTCTCTATCTCAAAATAGATTCATTGAATTTTCAGGCTTTAGTTCATCAGATGGTCCTTCCTTATTTTATAAAGTAATGAGGTCGAGATTAATTGTGTGACCTCTCCAAAACATGCTTTAGTACTTAATTCCCTGACCCCTATTTAATATGCTTTTCCCTGTTTCTGATGGTAGACAAGGCAGTACTAGAACTTGTACATAAAATTAAACACAATATATCCAAAAACCTATCCTGTTTATAAAAAAAATGCATACCAAAAAAAACGCATACAGATTAACGAGCACATTCAAAGGAATGCTCTTTTTTGAGATAGATACCTTAGAAGAGAGTCTGGGATGTGGACCACTTCCATTTCAGTAACTCTTTTCCCAAAGTAATGTTGGGAAAAAAAACAAAAAAAAAAAAAAAAAACAACAACAACAAAAAACCCAAAACCCAAAAAACAAAACAAAAACAAAACAAAACAAAACAAAACTTGCCAAAATGTATTAATTACATTAATAAAATTAAATAAATAAAATTAATAAAATTAATAAAATTAAATAAAATAAAATTAATAAAATAAAAATAAAATACAAAATGTTTAATTACACTGTGGTTAACTACCAAATAATGCTGGTCCTCAAACCTGCTTTTGTTTCTGTGTGCATGTGTGTGTAGGAGGAGAGAGAGAGGGCTTGAGCTGAGGATGAAAGGGAGGTGGGAGAGAGATGGGATGAGAGCAACGATATTAATAAGAGCAGTTTTTGACTCTGCGTGCCTGGTGTTGCTCTAAGCACTTTACCTGTATGAACTCATTGAGCATCACAAAAATCTCATTAGGTAGATATTATTGTACTTATTTAGCTGATGAGGAAACTGAGGCACAGGGTGCTAAATAACTTGTCCAAGGTCACAAGAAATAGGGTGGACAGCAAGTCACAAACTTAGATATTTGACTCCACAGCTTGTGCTCTTAATTGCCATGATATTACATATATACACTTACATATAATATACACTATATATACACTTATATATATACTTTTATATATTAAAGTATATTGAATAGTCTTTGTGCTTACTTAGTGTGTAAGCATTAGCTATGTCAGAGCACAAGATGCAGGTGTTGATCTCAATGGGTTGGAGGAAAGAGATGAGGAA